ACTTCAATTTATTAATTATACTGCTTCTGATAATTTTGATTTTTTAATTATACTACATGGTGGCTCAGGCACTGAGAGTATCATAGCTACAGGGGTAGCATAGCACAGGCAGAGAGCTTCAGGCTAATAGAGCTATACAGTTCCTGATAACTCATTTAATATCATTAGTCACCTCCGTGAGCTCTGCATGAGGCAGTGTATCACTGCTTAGAAACCTCTGTTCCTTTCTGCCAAGGCTCAGAGGAGCTTGAATTTGTTGAACAATACAAAAAAGGGGATGAAATTCTCATGTTTGACCACCAGTGGAGACATCTGCCAGCAATGGAAGTTCATCACTTTCTAGGTTTGTTTTTGTTTGGTTGTTATTTTAACAGCATTTTTCTGTTCTCAGTCTATTTAGGTTTCTGGATACCTTTAACTATTGAGTGGCTGCCCTGTGCAAACCTCCCACTGCAGCCCTCACAGCAGAGACACAAAGCTATGTATGGAAACATTCCCATTCTACACTTAATGAATGAACACATTTCCCAGTCTTACCTGGAACTACCAGAGGTTTGGGCCATTTGACAGCAAAGGCAAGATTGCTTATGATTTGCAGTTTTATAGGAGTTTTATAGTCTGCAYTATGAACTATGAAGTTCATCCTCCAAAGGCCTATGACTTAACATGTCTCTTTGCTACACTCCTACAGCTAAGGGCCGAGCATGGAGAGAGGTTGTAGCCACAGTAACAGGCCTTTTAATGAGAAGGTGCATGTAGTTTCCAAGTCCCTGAGATGTCTGTTCAACACATCAAATGAGYTTAAGCATCCACATTCCAGGAACACATAGATGTAACAATTCAATCATTCAACACATRACGATTGCAGAAGGTACAAAGTGCAAGTTATCTGTGTCCCTCACCTCATTTCACATGGGACTCTTCTCAACCCCTCCTCTGCACATAAACCTCTGCACTTTCTCCCTCTGATCATCACTAGCAYGATCTAGATCTTCCTTTATTGAAACATGCAACTGCATCTGCATAAACTACAGCGAACCAGATTTTAAAACATCGACTGACTTTAGRCAGAAGCCTTTAACCTTTAATCCAACAGGTCTAATACTTTGYAATGAAGAATGGATAGAAAAAAATTGAAACACAAAACTGAGCAAGCGGCATGGAAGGAAGATGAAAAGCAATTACCTCAAACTTCACTGAGCCATTCTGTGCAGTGTCRAAGGCGTTGAAGAGGTAATGTGCATACATGCTGGCATCTGGAAAGGCACAAAGGGCAGGTACAGCAGCTCGTTACACACTAATGGTTCTAAACAACAGGCATGAACCTATTTTCCTTCTGTATTTAACTCAACCCTGTAGCATTGCCAGGTATTCTATCAGCCAGTAAATATTAACATGGACTTGCAAAATCCTGACATCGTCCCTCAAAACAGCCTTGAAATGCAAATGCTTTCATTACAGTAGAAATTATTTGGATTTTGTGGCTGYACCTGAAAGAATGAGCAGAAAATCTCCAACCATCCTAAAGTATCTCTGGTTCAAATGCTGGGAAACACAGTAAAAATATCAAGTGGCTGCAGCATGTGTGTGCATCCTTTCTCTATCTTTTTGTTTCGTGGGAGACACAGCAGAGACCGCCCAGCTTCAGAAGGGTCTTGCTGCAGTTACTTGAGTTTGACATGGCTTTYGGAGAGCAATCTCACCTAGGGCCATATTTTCATCCTTCCAAATATTGAACTGCTGGTTTTAGAAAACCTTTTCTATTGAGAGCAGTCTCTACAACSCCATGAACGACAGCTGTAAACTAGGAATATCAGTAATGGTATGCAGAAAAAATATCCAACAGGTGTACAACTTCAAAACCTGCAGCGACCTGCTCCCTGCTCTGGRAGGCAATTCACTCTGCTCTCTGTATCACTAAAGCTCAGCCGTATAGGAYAGAAGTAACCAACTTTAAAGTCCCTCATCACTTAATTGCTACTCTCTCTAGCAGCCATGCACTTCTTGTGTCCTCTATTCTTTGTCTCTGGTACACAGCATCAGTCAAGCCTGAGTCTCCACACTCTGTATGGCACTCAGGGGAAGCCTGGTGCCCTGTTCTGCCCAAGTGGAATGACCCAGCATCTCCTTACTTTGATCTCTAAAATTATTCAATTCCAAGAAAGCGTAACGGTGTGCAGAAAAATCAAATACTTCAGTTACTCAAAAGGATATTTATCATTCATACGGAAAAAATACACTGGACTTCAGGGAAAAAAAAAATGTGTACTACAATTTAAAGAGAATGATTCTCCTATAAAATAGCTCCAAAAGAAAACCATAACATTACATATGGCACAGCCCTAGTTAAAGCTCCTATTAAGCTAAACTAAACAATGAACTAAAAAATTTAGCTAAGAGGCCTTATTTCAATTTGGTACAATGTACATTAAGAAATAATTAGATCATTTGTATCATTTRATGATAGATTAGCAAAAATTAAAACAGGCCAAGGATAGGAGTCCTAACAAAACTATCAAAAGCCTGGGATGACACTGCACAAGGTTTTCACAATTCAGAGCCACATTACTATGTCTAGGTTGTACAAGTTTATCTGTAAAGAGAACCATAAAAGTGTAAGAATATCTGAGGATTTATGACACTAAGGTTATACAAATAGTWTGGAAACCAAATGAAAAAAAMCAATGTAAAATACAAAATCCATCTGCTATTGACCTGATGTACTATTAAGCGTGGTTGTATTTCCATCATCATTAACCAAGGGAGAAACACATCTCAAGGGAATGGAACACACAGAAAAAAAGGAAAGGCAAGTCTTTGACAACCTCAATAGAGTGGGAAAAAAGGTATCTATCCACGAAAAAGTGGAGCTTCTGTGCCTACTGTTTTTTACACATGGGAAGAAAGGAGCCACCTGCACTGTGTTACTTAAAGGAGTTAAYTGGGGCAACTGGAGTTCCTTGGACTTACTGGAACTTAGGTTGGAAACAAAAACTACATCCAGAAATACATAAAATTATAAATACATTGTTTTTTGCAATAAATAAATAAGTAGTCTGGTTGCATTTTGTAACATAWTTAAAAGAAATCACAACAGGAAATCATCAAGCTCATATTGATAATTAATGCAAACTTTTTATAGGCATGCATCTGAGGGCTCATGGGTTGTAAAACATAAGCATAATATGTTTTATTTTGGCATCTAGTTAAAAAAACACTTGTTAATGACCTTCTCTAAGTAAGCCACAGTACACTCAAATGCACATGCTCACAYATACTCTTGCAGAAAGGTCAGTCATCATTCCCCAAAGAGTGCACTCTGCAGCTTCTACAGAGTGGGATATTTGGAAAAGCCTCAAATACTTAATCTTTTGCTAAAAAGCCACTTAAACCAATAACTGATTTGTTTCAGTTTGAGACCAGCATCCCCAAAGAACATAYGCACTTAGCAGAATATACGGATTCTTGATGTTTTTAAAGGGCAAGAAAGTGTATTATTTGAGAAATTCAATACAACACTTTAATATGCCCATATGTGATATGACCCTGTCTTAGTCACATAAACAYCAAAAATGATCATTTTAGGTAGCCAGAAGTTTACATATCGACTGAAAACTGCTTTAAGAATTTTAAGGAGGTTTTGATTAATTTTCAGGCCAAAATGAAGTCTGGGACCCTCCTGTGCTAGACACTACAAGCAAAGCAGTCCAACAGCAGGGAAGCAAAGACACRCTGAGAGGAAGCAATTCCACTCTGCCAGAAGAGAGTCAGTACAGAACAAAGCATCAACCCCCAGTTTCTATGTCAGACCTCGGGAATAAAGAGCTGACATCGAAGGGCAATCTTTAGTAGGGTTTTTCTAAGTGWAACAACAATTCAAAGGGCCTAAAATGTTATTACCTTGATGTTTTTGTTTCAGTCTAAAACCCCTCAAAGCTTAAGCTTGATTCCCATTTCTTGCACAGATGTTCTGCAGCAGTTTTTAACAGCCAGCTGGCMATAGGCAAYGTTAAGGCTTCAAGAACCCTGACAKGCACAAAGCACTCCACTTACCTCCATGAGGAAAAAACTGTGCATAGATCTGTTTGAAGGTTTCTTCATTAACAACCCCACTAGGACATTCCTGTTGGAAAACAAACAGAAAAACCCAACCCAAAACAAACAAACAAAAAAAAAAGAGAGAGAAAAAGAATCAAGAAAAATGCAACTTGGTAAAGGTTCATTTGCAAAACTCTACAAGCCCAAAGAGAGCAATGAAAGAAATCACCTTCCTGTTCTCACAGTGCTCTGCATGCTCAGGCTGCACAGCTGAAGAAATTAAAGTAATTCTGACTGCAATTTCATCTTAAGCATCTGACAAAGTTGTCTCACCATTACTGACATTTCTAATCATGTTTTCAGCAGTTTCATTGCTGTTTTATGGAATGAGCTAGAAAGGCAGTTCATGTATTTTGTCATATGAAGCTTTCACCTAACAATTACAAATAATGTTCATGCCAGTTAACACCTCCCTGTCTAACGCCTTCACAGATGTGAATCCATGAATCCTCAGCAGCAGGCTGCAGTCAGAAGCCTGACACTGGATCCACAGAGGTGAACAGCCCACAGTACACCAGTAAGTCCTTACAAACAAACCTTAATAACAGACACTCCCACCAGCTCAGGGCTGCTCTAACACAATTCAGAGCCTTGGGTGCTGCTATCTAACCATGTGATGTTTTCAGTCATGTTAAATATTTCCCAGTTGATGGCACCATTCCTCAAACTTGCCCATCAACCAATTTTGAAATCTAAACCAGAGCAAACCAATGAAATAACCACAGCACTGAGTCTTTTGCACAGAATTACAGATACAGAAAAGTCMTCTTCCTCCACATTCAGAGCCACTGACCAACAGAGCCTACTGGGGGCTGTGTCCTACTGCAGCACCGACCCAACTCAGACACTTAATTCCACAACCTCAGCTCAGGTGGCAYATCAGGGAGGGAGGAGGGAGCAAGAGCACTGTCCCTCCCGGCAGGACCTGTTGGTGATGGATTATCTGACCAGGCTAGCTGTCACAAAATTTATAAAACTGGCACRTATATCTTGGTATGATGCTTATGAYKGAGYTGAAGGGCAGATTTGGGATCAGGAAAGTTCCTCYGTTCCTGGCACTATATTCTCTCCATGCATCCCTCTCTGTGTCATGCTGTGATTCCTGTCTCACTTTCACACAGATCCTTCAGCAGAGAACTTCACAGAATATAACCCTTTCCACAAGGAATCACTGGCTTTCCATTCATGGAACCTGACTCCCACTGCCTTGCCCAATAGTTCTGAACTGCTGTTTAGAGAGAGTGAGCAGTCAATCTGACAATTTTTCTATATGACCCTTGTGATTCTGTGGATCTTCCATTTGTCGTCTCTCTYCTAGGATGAGACATCCCACCCTGAGAAAGACAGAAGTTACTGAGCATCCCCTGACCATCCCTTCTCTGCATCTCTCTATTTCCACCACACCTTTTCTCAGTCAACAGCCAGGACTGCCAGCCACCTACAAGATGCCAAGACACTGCTCATTCATCTTGAAGCAAAATGGTATCCTCTCCTTGTTGCTCTGCTCTTTTTWAAAGAAATTCTAGTTGGAATTATTGGAGAAAAGGGATGGAAAATGATGTTCAGATCTTTACACTTATCCAGTTAAGGTTAATCCAGTCTGTTGGCCAGCCCTGGCTACATACCATATTTTCCCCTTGGCCTTACCTTCTAAAGCATTAGAAATTAATTTAAGAGCTCATTCTTCTGACCTAACACATCTAGGAGGGTCATGCTCTGTGCAGAGAGAGATGTTGTGGGACAGGAGTGAGCTTGGGGATGAACAGAAATTACCTTGAAAGGGCACACATCCAAAAATGCTACTGCCACACCACAGTACCTGGAATATGACTGCTGACACCACTTATTGGGGTAGGATATCCCCTCATCTGTAATTYTGTGCTTGGCCTGGACTTCATCAAAGAGCAGGTTTGGGTGTGATGGCCCCAGGCTGATTTACCAGTTCCGTGATAGCTCCAGCCTGGAGCTTTCATGGGCACACTCCCTGCCTGCTACACCCCACTCTGCACAGCCAAGACAAAGGCTATGGAATTCTGGCAGCATCACAGGCTGTGGAATTTGAGATGAGTAAACTTCGGAAGTCTAAGAAAATCCCTTTGAAAATCCTTTTGAAAATCCTTTGCCTTAGTGACACAAAAAGCTGGAGGAAGATTCAAGTCTGTAACRTATTATTGATRAGTTGTTTAGCTACSTCTTAAGAACAAAAAGGACTTTGAYAAGAAATTCTTCCACCACAAAAARCCTATAAATGGAAAAAGGCCTCTGATCTGCTGCTGATGTGCATTCACTAACCATGAAAAAAGGACAGAATAAATGAAAAACCACTTTATCTTGTGCAAGTCACAAGGAGAGCAAGAAGGGGTACTTCAGGYGACAGTGAGATAGCTCCTTAATCACATAGCTGTTTGCTATGTTGAAATTAGGATGGTTAGATCTGGGTTCCTTCCTCCAAGGCAGAAAAGATCCTGCTGTCTTCTACCGGCTCTTTAGGTAGGAAACCATTAGTGATTTGGGAGATATCGGAATTAAAGAGAATTTGTTACTTTAAAARCAACAACAATTATCTTTTACTCTGTGTCTTCATGTCCTGAAAAATGCCCTTCCACTGGTTGTGTACAAGTGTCCCAATTAACACCCAAACATGATACTGTGGTTTTGACCTCACCAGGGCTATCCCCTCTCTGGCATCACTGTTCAAAGCTTGCTCCACACCAGGGGATCAAAAGACCAATGGRACTACCTAAAGCCAGGGGCTGCAAGACCAGACCTTGTCTTCTCATTTACTGACAAAATTAACAAAACTTTTTAATCCTTTCTTGCAAGATTCTTGGCTAGATGAGTATTCTCAGACTGTTCCAAAGCATCCATTGCCTGGTTTCTTTATCATGAGAGAAGCGGTTACTTGTTCATCTGTCTGTGCTGCTTCTAGTAAAGTAGAAATCATCAAAGGAAAAATAAATAAATAGACGCTAACAGCTACCATAAGAGATTCTCCCAAATATTTCCYAAATGCTCATGTTTTCTGAAGCTTGCACCCTAACATACATTAAATAAATAAACTGGTATTTTTTATGGCATCTTTTAATCACTGATCAGACCAAGTACCGTATCCACAGCCATTCTTGGGTAGAAGTGTTCTCCTTGGTCAATGAAGGGCTGTTGCTATGAGCTCACACAGGACCCTTGCAGCTCTTGCAACCCCTTGCAAATTTTTCCAAATTGTCATTCATTTTAAAATCAAGCCTAGCACAACCTGCCCATCCTTTCCAGCACAGTGCTACTGGCCAGACACATCCAGATATATTTCTTTCTCTCCTCTTGATAAACTATTATGTTCATTAAGAACCATAACTTCACATCCTGAAAGATTGTTTGTAAGATGTGGGAGTGATCATTCTTTTCTCTRTGCTTCCCACAGTTGCAGAGTCCCTGTGTTGCCTTGGTCATCGTGCATCATCTGGGCACTGCTGCTTCCTGTGCTCTCTCACAGGGCAAGGGCTATTCTGGCACTTTTAGCCATTGGGCCTKCTTAATTTTCTGAATTTCCTCATGATCCTTATTGCTTCTGATGCTCCATCTGGAAGCCAAATGGAAGTTTGCATCAGAGTTCTGGGAGTGCTGGGGAGAGGCAGTGTTGACGTTGATCAGCCTATTTAGCTCTCTATAACTGGATTGCTCTCAGACACATATGCTAGTACCAATTCATTTGCAGTTAATTGATCACAATTTTTGTTTTATAAGAGCCAAAGAATGCTCAAGAGGCCTCATTAGTTCTTATAGAACTATTTAATTCTGCTGCCTCAAAAGTAATCTCTCTTGTGAAATAGGACAGGTAAGCTTAGTGTCAGTTTAAATTCCACTGAAGCTTGTAAAGGTTCACTCATTCAAGAAAAAATCCTTGTCAGTAAGAAAAACCATATTCCTTCACCACAKTATTCATGAGACTTTAGTTTGATAACAGGGTTTTAGGTTAACATTTAACCTATGAATTGTTTCAAAATGTCAAACAGCGAACATTTTTTTTGGTATTGTTGTCAAGCACAAAACAAACCCCTCGTTTTCCGTGGGCTGACTATCAAGCTCTGGCAGCATGACCTATGCATCTGAATTTAACCTCTCATGCTTCTTTTAAATCACTAAACCACAAACGARCTGAATCCACATAAAAACCAAACACACCAACCCACAAAACCAAAAGGAAAATAAAACAGGAGTTGCATTTTTCTTCTGCTGGAATCAGAAATAAACTTCACTGTTTGCTTTCAGAAATGTGCAAAGCAGAGATGCAGGGACCACAGGGGAGCTGAGCATAACCTGTCTGTCAAACCCTTCTCAGCTCACCTGGCCAGAACAAGAGGATGAATACTCAGGGGTCACATTTTGCTAAATTAGAGGTAGTAAGTTAGCTGACCGCAGAGACAAATCCACAATCCAGATTTGCATTTTGAAGCACTCACACATCCCATGTATTTTGTCGCTCTATGTTGTCCCACTTCGGAGACGTTTTGGGGATTATTAAAGTATYAGAACATTTCTGCCTTGCTTGTACTGCCCACTTTAATCTCCATTATCCTGCTTTGTTACAATTACATCTCATACTACACTTCATTACAGATTTGCTAAAATGCTCACACTAAAGCAAGGTAAGGATGTCTCCACCAGCCCCTCAGTTATTTGATTTTGTCTGTTTCCWGATTTAGTATTAAGAAATTATCTCTTACAGCTAACCAGCATTTCTACAAACATCACAATCCCCTCAAACTGAGCAGAAAATCCCACAAAGCCCCCAGTTCTTTTAAATCCATGTACTCAATGCTAAAGAATGTAAGCCATTAGAAACATGGCCTAAATGGAAGCTCCTGAATTACTGAGCTCAATTCTCTATATTGTTGTCACTTCATTAGTCATCAATTTATTAATTTTAATCATAAAAACACTTTCTTGCTCTCCTCCCAGCAATTCCATAACTGCTTACCAAACTTCACTCCTCTGGGGGGTGGAAACTCTCTTTTATGTTTATWCATGGCCATTTTGTTCCTGTGCCAATACTGGTGTTTAGCTCAAACAATTCTGGTGTTTTTGTAGACAGAGGGTATCAAATTTTGTTTTGTCAAGCTATACCAAGGCAAGACCCACCAGAGTCTCTGCTGGGTTTGCCTGTTACTTTGCTTTTGTAGAATCCCAACTAAAAAGATGGGAGCAAACACTTCATGTGAATTCTGCCTCCAGTCTGGCAGCAGCTAACTCTGAGGTACAAAAGAAACTATTCACAAGAATCATGGGAGCAGAGGRAACTGCTATGATAAATGTGAAATACTGGTCCTGAAACCAAGAGATGCTGGAGCATGGCACTCTTTCACAATTGGAAAAGCAAGCTGAAGGCAAAGAGAGGGRACTTTTGGCCAGGCAGAAATAATACAGGCCTGGTTAGAGTGCTCAGCTTCTATGGAGATGTATTTACTGGAAGCCTCCATCAGCCTGGTGCAAAACCACCAGACCGAACCAGTGACACACTAGGAAAAAAGTCTGAGAAGATTTGGAGGCAGTGGGGGAACAGAATCCAGAGACAAAAAAAGAGCAGGTTTAAAGGTCCTAACAATTGGGACCCTGGGCACACAGGACACTAGTCCAGAGGCCACCCCAGGCTGTGCTGAGCTGCCTTTGGTGGAACACCATCCCTGTTCCTGCACACCAAATCCTCTGCAGCCAGGACCTCGATCCCTTTGTGCCCAATACAAGTTCCTGCAAATGTCTCTGTGATTAYTCAGGTGTTGCCTTGTGATTAAACAGGACCTGTGCAATCACTGAGAGCAAGCAGTACATACAAACCAGGGAGGAAAATGACTGTATTCCCACAGGGATTTGAATCTCCAAATGGCACTGTAGCATCATCCCWAAGAACAGATGGTTCTGTACAATAGCAAATATGGTCATAGCTGAGCCAGTTTKCCTCCTGTGTATAATTACTCATCCCATTGAAAACGTGGTTTGCAGGCTACCAGTGTTAAAGCTGCACTTTCATTTTAATTTAAACCTTAGATAGGAAACTTCGTGCATATTGTGTGCAGATCAGCTGGAGAAAAACAGCCTGCTTTGTCCTAATATCTAGCTATAAACCAAGGTCTTGCCAGCACTACCAGTTAATACCAAGATCTTCAGCGATGTCCTACATTTAGGTCACAAGTTAAATGCACTTGTCTGCAACTCTTGCCCTGAGAGGCAGTGCCTCTGTAGTGCAAAGTAATAACAAAACTGGGAAGGGCAAGGGGTAAACATCATGTGTGCTGAGAGTGCTCCAAGTCTGCCTCACTGCYTTGCATCTGCAGCTGCAAATCCTCCCAGCACAGAGCAGAGCTCTCCCACACAGGATTCCCACCCAACAGTGATAYAGAAAGCACTGCAGAAATCTCAGCAAAACTGGGTTTAATCTCCCACTGTAGGCAGTCATGTCCTGTCTGGGTGCTAACCTGTCAAGCTCTGTCTCAAAAGCTGCATGATTTCTTCTGGGCAGCCAAAAAGCATAAAGAGATATCAGTGTTCAGTTAGAAAACTTCATACGTGAAATGACCTCCTATGTGTAGCAAAGGCTGTGCAAATGTGCCACATTCACCAAACAAAAACACAGAAAGCTGAGCTGGGCTTTGGTCCACTTAGGTGAGCAGTGAAATATAAGGTGAAACCACCAGACTCCTTGGAAAAGTCAAATATACCCTGGAAATGTGATTTGATCAAACTTCAAAAATCTGTCAAAAACAAAGGCCCTTTTCAAAGTCCAGGAGGTTCCCTCAGAACTGCCTGTATTTGAGATAGCTCAGCTTTCTTTTGACAAGTTTTTACCCAATAGACTTGACTTTCTGAGAAATGTCAGCATTTTGCTGTGATGGATGCTGAATGCAGGAACTGTCCTGCAAGACAGCTTATAAACTGCTCTGTGTTTGTTGACCAAGCTCGATTCTGACCTGTTCATCATCATTAAAACATCAGCTGGCACAAACCACCTGGCTGACTAAATCCTGACCCTCAGGCAAACATGTAATGAGTACTCATTCTTCAAGGTCCAKAAAGCATCTGCTCCATGTAGCCTCCACATTCCCTCTCCATTTGTCTCATCACAGGAGCCGCTGAGAGGCAGCAGCAGATGACTCAGGCTGAGGTTCATCGCTGCTCATAGGGAGTGTGGCTGCAGTGGTGGCTTACAAGGATGGGCACAGAGCTCTTCTGCACACCCAGCCATGCCAGCTGGCATTGCTTCCTGCTTTCCCAGAAACCTGCAGCCTCTCTCTTGTCTCCTCAGTCTTAATACACATTTAATTTTTGATTTCTCTTTGGCTCCTGCCACTCCAGCCTTTTTCCCTACATATGCAGGACCTAAAGTCCTAAAGTGCTCTGCTAACACCCTACTACAAGAACAAGACTTCAGCAGCTAGAGAAGTGATAAAATTTCCATCCTGGGCAGCTAATCACAAGCRAACAATTCCGGTTATATTTGAACATGAGGAGTTGACAACAAAGTTTATATAAGTAGCCATAAAAACCTTTTCAGGTTATCTTCAAGATAACTGGCACAGCTGAGGAAATTGAAGTGTGCTTGCTGACATTTGGGGACAAGTTTAATGAGACCATTATGTGCTGAATATTCATCCAAACTTAGTTTTAGGCAAATTGCAGTGTCATAAATATTAGATGGAGAGACAGATTGTGCTCATTTTGCTGTAGTAAGGGAKATCTAATACAAAACTACTAATGCTTAGCAGGGGAATAATACAAAATGCAGCTGAGCAGTTGAGGYTGGTGGGGACATACATATTAGACTCCATTCATTGCAGTGCTGTTCTTACATTTTTAAATCCTCTGTAAAGAACCTGAAGTTCTCTTTTAGTGAAATTAGTTTGTGCTTCAAGCTGTTCCAGTCCCTCGGGTCTATGGCACACTGTGGTCATTTCTAATTCATCTTCAATTTTATCTGAAAGAGAAGATAGGAAAATATTTACTTTGGTTGTTACCTTTGCTCTGTTAACATGATGGATGGGACAGACTGTATTTCAAGAGCAACAGAACTGATCTGTGTAACTGTTTCCAACTCTTGAAAGCAAAATAAAAGCCATAGGAGTAAAGCAATAGCTCACATTTCTTGTTGGGCTGCCAATTATCTGCCCATCCACAAAGCCAAAATGAGTGGTGAGAGCAGAAGGGCAGCAGCAGACACATTGCTCCAAAAGGCAACCACAGACGTTTCATACCTAAATATTGAAACCACAGGGACGAATAGCACTTGCAAAGTACTGGCTTTAAAGAAAGCTGTGCAAATATGCTTGAGAGAGCAGACATGCTTAGGCATATTAGACAACAACATTATACTGAGAGTAAACAGTGAGGGAAACTCTCCTGTATGCAAACCAAAATCCTTGCTCTAGAGGTACTAAAGGTCACTTTAGTCCTAGGAGAAATTCAAATTTTGTCCACARTTGCAGAATCTGGAATGAATTCAGCCTGAATTGACATGGACTTTTTGGGGAAAGAGATAAAAAATGCAAAACACTTACATGCATTTTATTCAAGAGAGTGTTCTTTTACAAAGAAGAAAAATATTTGAGATCTATCACATTCTGTATTATCATAACCTCACTTCTCTTTTGATGCATGTTTTCCCCTGTCAAGCCYAGCAGTGTATGCAATGACCCAATATATAGATACTTAGTGTCTGTCAGTTTGAAATTCTCTAAACATCAAGGACCAAATCCAGCCTTCAGCTGACATCAAAATCCAATCTACATCCAAAAGTTGCTTGGCATAAAAGTCATAACTGTCCCTATCATCAAAACTGCACAAATCATGCCTTGTAAAATCATTTTAGGTTATTTGGCTCAAGGATAATATAGTAATTTCTGCTGTAAGACAACAACTTAATGAGAAATTTGCAAGGAAATGGAGTGAGTTGGAATAGAGAAAAGGCAAGAATTTGGARCAGACTGCGTCAGTGAAAGAACAGACCAGCCCAAAGGTGTATTTTCATAATTAATTCTGCAGTGATATACACACACAAACACAAAACATATACATACATATATTATATAGAATGTTATTAAGAGAGGGCACATGTCAGTAAGTGCTAATGGTTAATTAACATTGGTTCATTGTGTCAGTATTAAGAAATTGGTTCAAAATATTGGTGAGTTCAGCCATCCTCTTAATCCACCATATCTGCATTTGTAGGCCTTGAACAGATAAACAGATAGGCCTTGAACAGATAAAATCCATTTCTAAATACTGTTCTGAAGGTGCCTTGCACAGCAAGGGAATAAAGGTGAGAGGCTACAACAGCATGGGACAGGAGCAGAGTATCAGCTGTTTCTGGTGCAGAAAAAGGGACTGAAGGCTGGCAAGTGGCCAAAAGAAGCCTGAAGAACACACCTTCCCCACACAAAGGAAAAACAAAGAGTCCAGAAATTAAAACTCCTGTTAGAAGAAAGGAGATTAAAAGGGACATCTGCTACAGGAAAAAGAAAAAGTAATGTGAAATAAGGGGGAAAGACATTTTCTTTGCAAGCAAATAAATGCCACAAAATGAAGGAMTACAGAAGCTGTAAAGAGAGAAAAGTGTGGGGAAGAAATTCTTTAAAATGAGAGAAGAGAAATGAGCGGTTAAAAAAAGGAAAGAAAATACATTTAAAAGGCAGCCAGGCTAGGGAGACCCAACACTAACCTATACATTGTACAGGAAATATCTTTGCAGTKCCCTCTGGTTAAGCAGAAGTCACCAAAAACTTTCCTAGCCAAGCGCACATCACCTGGCTGCTGTCCCTGGGCCAGGAGCAGCTCACACTCCAGCGGGGCAGGCACTGCTCTGCTGCTGGGCAGCTTGGCCTGGGAGCTTTTCTCTGCTCTGTCACCAGCTGAACACGCTCAGCCTTTCCCTCACATTTCCTGGGGCTTGAGTCGCTCTAAAGTTCTTTATAATTTCTGTCAATGTAAACTGTAAGTGTAAAATACAGGCCCACTACTCCTTCTATGTTATAATATGATTAACAGAGAGAGGGGGAAAAATAAATATCTATGCAGCCTGTGTGGCAAGGCTGATGAGGGAAACCAGCCTACTGGAACACTCTCACACCTGCTTTTACTTATGTTCCTTCAATGTGGAGGTTCATGTGGTTTCCACAGAGGCAGGAAAGATTCAGCTGAGGAAAGTCATAGTCTTTGCAAAGGCATTTTGATATGACTAATTTTTGTGGGTATTTTATTCACCATATTTTTTCCACCTCTTTCTTAAGCAGGCAGCTTTTAAAAGCATTTACTGGAATCTGTGTTAGTATTCTGAAAAACAAGTAGTTGAAGGAAAAGCTGTCACTTGTGCAAAACTTGCCATATAGGTCCAGAATAGCTTTAAACAAAATCTACATAATTACAGTGCAAAACTCAGAGTTGTCTAGAAGCCTTTTATACGAGCAGACCCAAAATTAGGGTCTTGGAATTATTTTTTTCCAAAATATTCCTGAATAAAATATTACTTGGTGAATGTATTTTAAGAATRATTTTTGTCTTTTTACAGTCCTGACCCCATTCAGTGAGTCATTACTTCAAAAGAGTGAAACTCATCTCCTTCAGCTYGTTCTGTAAGAACAGGCTTTCCCAACAGTCAGCTTGTGAGTTTGGGTTCCACAGGGCAAATATTTCTATGTTAAAACAAGCCATATTATTGTTGTAGATTTGATTCTATCTTCCATGCTAAGAAATGTCTCTCACTTTTCTAYAATAAACTTCAGAAACAAAAATGATGAAAAGTGGATCCCTTTCAATTCTACAATCTGTTTTTTCTTTTGCTCCCTAATCCCGAACCTGTGTTAAAATCTGCCTCTGAAGAGGATCTGATGGTTTTCTGTGGGTTAATATTTTCATTCTGCTCCCTCTTCCTCTCCCAAGGGAAGTATTTTGAAACTCAGCAAAAGAATTCGTGAAGCTTTAGATCTGGCCAAGGGGGCACTCAGATTGTCACCAGACCAATCATTTTCCAGTGAACAAATTCAAAAACGCAGAAGCTGACCCTTCAGGAACATGCTCCAGTGCAGCAGAGCAATCCTGGGCATTTCTTGGAACATCACCACAGACAATAAATACAACTAAGACCTGTTAGGCCATCACTTGCCAAAAAAGAGACATTTTTCATGATAAAACTTATTTTAGGAGTAAACAACTTCACATTAATAGGCYTCACAGATCAAACACCCCTCCCTCATGTTCACAGCATTTAACACACAGTTTTTATCCCATATACAAAGTCTTTCCTTGGCAATATCCCTGTTCATCCTTCCTCCCTTCCTGGCTAAGGCTKCAGTGGGCACGGCACAGAGCAGGARGGACCTGAAGCCAGACCTGAGGACACAAATTCCTCTTCTGCGCAAAGTTTTTTGGAGAACCCTCCACAAATATTTTCTTTTTTCATTATTTGTTTCCTTTCAGTGCTTGTTGTCAAGTTAGTTCTTTTCAACCTTTTTCTTCCATTCCCTGATAGCCTGTAAAAATCAACCACACAAATCTCAGTGACAAAACAGGAAGTTGGCACTTCCTCCTCTGCCCTCGCTTTTTGTTATGGGAATTGTATTTCCTTTTATTTACATTTTCATTATCWTGTTGGCTTAGTCCTTCCAGCTCTTCAGAGGTGTCACTGTATGAAATATGAGCTCTTGCATTTATAACCGCTACAGTTTTATTAAACTGAAGCTCACTGGGGTGGTGAGTGCAGGCAAAAGTGTACATACATAAACACATGCAAATTTGAACCTTTGATAGGAATGATGCTAGGATATTTTATCTAATATCAGATTCTTCCTCAGTTTTACCTTGAYTACAGTTTGCTGAACACCTTAAGAGATTTAAGCATAGGAAACAACCTTGCTGCTGGTTTAGAGTTAATTTTCTTCACCTTCAATTCACAGTTGCTTCACAGACCTTGGAACTGAGTGCATCCACTGCAAGAGGTGAGTGTGGGCACCTCCCCAGCTCAGGGACACCTGTGACCTGGCCAGGATTCACAGCATCCTTGCTGAGCTGGAAGGACACCCCTGCCCTGCTGATAAAGACACGAGCCCCAAGGTCTGGGTATCACCCAGCTGTTGAGTGAGAGCTCGAGCCTCAGCAAACAAGTCCCAATTTATTATTCTAGATCTCAAAGCATGTATTTTGGTTGTTTTGGGTTTTTTTTTTTGTTTGTTTGGTTTGGTCTGGTTTTTTTTTGTTTTGTTTTGGTTAGGATTTTTTTGGTTTGGTTTCTTTGTTTTTGTTTTGTTTTGTTTTTGCTTTTGTGGGTTTTTTTTGTTTGGTTTGGTTTGGGGTTTTGGGAGTTTTTTGTTTCTGTTTTTATTTGGGAGGGCTGGTTTTTTTTCTGTTTGTTTGGTTTTGGGGGGTTTGGGTTTTTTTTGGTTTTTTTTATGGGGGTTATCTCTGCTCACTAATTAGGTGGAAGCAGTAACTAATGCAGGTTTCCTCTACTTACAGGTACTGATAAATGATAATTAATTCTTTTTTTGGTTTTAGCTCCAGCACTGGATTAAATCATCCCTTCCACACCAGATGGCTGCAGTGAGTTGTGTCCTAGGCTGAAGATTGTTTAGCCAGTACAGAACATTCTCTTATTTGTTTTCCATAAAATATGTTTTAAAATGGAGCAATGGGAGGTGGCATTTCCTGAGTGAGGATTTATTTTTGCCCATATGCTGTAATAGCAGGGTGAGAGGTCTGGGTCTGGTAGAATCACCAGTAGTAATGTTACTCCAACCTAGGCCCAGGTTAAAATAATCACTTAGGTTTGTATTTTTGTGCAAAAAAGCATCTATATTTGCTTAGCTCATAGGATATGCACATTCCTTATTTAATGAAAACCAAACAGTGACTTCACTTTACAAAGAAAAATAATCTTGACATATTTGCATGTACATGCACATTTTAGATTGTGGCTAATGTATTTCA